CTTCATTTAACACCCTTTTCACCGTGGTTCTGCTTAACCCCATCTGAAGGGCCAACAGTTTCTGCTTACGTTTGGGATTTCTTTGAATTCGCGACTTCACAGCTTTTATCACTGCTGGAGTCCTAACAGACCGAGGGCGACCACTTCTTGACCTGTCATCTACACTAGAGTCTTCATTGTATCGTTTGGTGGTACGATAAACGAATCTTTTGGTTATATTCAAATTTTTCAGTATGTCAAAAATTTGCAACGATGCAACGCAATAACTGCAACACGGTCTTATTTAAGCCTCCACTCCATATTTAAAAATGAGTAAAATTCAAAAAGTATACAGTTTTATTTTCATGAACAATTCGAAATTTGAATTCAATAAACTTTTTTGTGGCCAGCATTCTAAAAGAAAAGTTTTTACTATGTGACAATACTTATGACCTGACTAGGTAAAAATAAGATAGGTATTTAATATATTCTGCACATCGAGTTTCATCGAAATGATCAAAATAAGTCTGAGGATTATATAAATCCACGGACTTATTCAATCACATTGTTTCACGGATTTTCAATCAATTTTAATCAATGTTTGATTACGGTGGCTCTTCTTTCACATTATTATTAACGAAAACGTGTTGCAATTAATATTTAATGTTCCTAGTATTTAATTTGTTTTACGACAAGTCTGATATATTGAAAACCACATAGGTTGTCTTTTTAGATACGAGTAATAGTATTGCAATATCTATTTGAATCGGATAAAATCCAAGGCACCCATTTATAACATATTAGGTACTTAAACACTGTAAACTTCAGATACGTAATTAATTACGACATACTAGGGGATTAATTATGTTGTTGCCGTTATAACGTAGTTACCACTTTAAACTAAAATTAAGCCTGGATGGTCCAAGATTCGTGATTAAAACTTTTTTGACACAAGAACTATAACACCCAAAATTCAAAAATGTTGATAACATCCTGATCGATTTATAACTTCCATTCAGTATTTAAGTTAAACATTCGAATACGAGTTCCAACGAGGTTCTAACGGAGCAGAGACGTCTTGTAACATCAATGATGTTCTGTGAGAGCATGGTCCCTCCCCGGTCGAGCCGAGATATTTGTACTACGACTATAATAGCATATACGCAGATCCAGGAGATAAGCCGCAAAATTACTGCAACATTGCGATCTCTTTATCGACTGAAAATTTTCTTCCTACCGCTACAAAATGTTTGCTTGTTCAATCTCTTATTCTACCAATAATAGACTATGCAGATGTGTGGTGCTCAGACTTATCTCAACAGCAACAGCATCTTAACACATTGGATCGTCTCCTCAATAACTGCATCAGATACATTTCTGGTCTTCGTAAATATGACCATGTATCATCTTTTCGTACTTAGCTTAACTGGCTGCCTATCCGTCAGCGCAAATATGTTAGAATACTCTGCACTCTTTTCACTGTCCTAAACGATCCATGTGCTCCTGAGTACTTGAAATCTAGTTTTTAGTACCTAGGAGATACTCATAATTGTTTTCTCCGTTTTTCGGATAATCTAAAGTTGCTAACACCTTTACACCGTACTGGTTATATGTCCCACTCTTTCGCTATAACGGCGACAAGACTCTGGAACAAAATACCTCTTGACATTAAAAAAGCTTCCAACAAGTTTCTTTTTAATAACAAAGTTCGTGAACATTTTAGTAAAGCATTGCAAGTGGGAATTAATGCTTTTTCTTCTTGACTGGGGGAGAATGCCTTACGATTTTTACAATTTTTCTTTTGTGCACAAAAGTTTAAATAAATAAATAAATAATATAGCTGCAACATGGCTCTACCACGTCAAGCTGATTTAAACTATATAATATATATATATATATATATATATATATATATATATATATATATATATATATATATATTATTATTATATATATTACTATTCTGTATATATATATATATATACATATATACAGAATAGGGTCCCACATATATGCAATAAATGAAACCACATACTTGTTATCGCCTTTGCTGACGGTATACAAAAAATGAACGTAATCGTCCCAGTAATTAGGTCAAAAAGTAGAGTTTTAATTTTAAGCAAATTTGAACCCTCTATAGAATTGGGTCACTAAGTCAATTGCTTCCTCTACACTACTCGCGAAGTAGATCGAAGTTGGACGAGGCGAATAGTGTAGAGAGGTACTTCGATTCACTTCGTCCAACCTCGCTTCGCCTCGGGCGACTTCCGATCGCTGTCGGTTTTTTGTGCCAGAGTCAAAGGGCTTCGCGAAGTACCTCGAAGTGACACGAAGCGTCTCACTACACTACTCGGCATACGTCCATTAGCGCTTTGACGCCGTACTGTTCACACGTGGGTGCGCGCGCATAAAATTATAATGACTGCGACCTGGTCACAGGAACAAGTCCTTTTCTTCTTGGAAACACTACAATCAGAGCGAGTTATTTGGGACCCAACTGACAGAGGACATAAAGACAGAAAAAAAATCAACGATGCTTGGGTGCGCATTCAAGGAATTTTCAATATGCCTATCCTAGAACTGAAAAAAAAGAAAGAATCTCTTTTTGCCACCTACAGGGGCTATTGCAGAAAAAAACAAGATTCACTTAAATCCGGTGCCGGCGTGGATGATATTTATCTTCCAGTATGGTTTGCATTTGAACATATGGATAATTTTTTGGGACCAGTATTTAAATGTAAACAAACAATGACAACGGTGAGTTTTTATTATTTAATTAGTGAGTAGGTTAAAAATTAATTCATTTCAATGCATGCTAATGTAAAGTAAATGCACACCTGTTTCACGGCTTTATTCAAATACGAGTATATTATGAAAATGTATTTTATTTCCATATTTCATGAATTCCAACAACAGATAGGCAAGATTTCTCCAAAGTATATGAATGGTGTTGTTACTGTTTATTTTTTTACATTTGTATGCATTGTATGATTTTCATTACATTTAGTAATAAATTTTAACCGACTTCAAAACGGAGGAGGTATGCAACTCGAGTGTGTTTGTTTTGTATGTATGTTACTTACGCGATATCTTCGCAGATTGTTACACAATTTCGATAATTGTTTTTTTATTAAATAGGTGATCCCATATAAGGGTGGTCTCATTATAATTTGGAGAAAAAAATTCATCCCAAAGGGTAGAAAATAAATAACTTTGTTTTTAGCGATTTGAATTCGGTTTTTACTTTTTGTCAAAAGTTTATAACTTTTATTAACAAACAAAAACGGGACAAAAAAAGTCTTTTATTGACCAAACAATCTTTATTAGGCTTTTTACATAATTAATAGTATTTATATGCCGGATTTCCATATCCAAGGATTTAATAAGCATACAATAATTAATTATTTCTAAAAAGATACTCCGCAAAATGATCTCTTATCTGAGTGGCAGATAATGTTGATCTGCGTGGTATTTGTGCAATATTTCTCAAAGCACAGTTTTTATCAACGTTCTGCCGCCAAGTTCCAGGTTGAAGTAATACTCCGTTTTCATCATATGTGTCCACAATACCGGGTGGCATATAAATATGAGATGAATTATTACTTTTTCTGAGAAAGTTGTGCAATAAGAGACAAGTCATTATAATAATAGGAACGGTTTCGATATTTATATCAATTGGCTTTTTGAATATTCTAAACCTGTTTGCTAAAATACCAAAAACATTCTCAACTACAACCCGAGACCTTGACAAGCGTGTATTAAAAATTCGTTTAGGCGAACCAATATTATGAGTACCAGGATATGGTTTCATTATATTATTATGCAAAGCAAATGCTCCGTCAGCCAAAAACACGTAGGGAATATTAGCTTTATCAGCGCTAGACAATGAGCGTGGCTTAGGCAAATTAAGAGTTTCGGATGAAATTTTTTGCCACAACGAAGAATTTTTAAATACACCTCCGTCACTGATCCTTCCTTGACTGCCAATGTTGGCATACATCAATTTATAATTACAGTCCACTAAAGCCAATAGTACTATACTGAATGTTTTCTTATAATTGAAGTACTCAGAACCCGAATTGTCTGGACATTGTATAATAATATGCTTTCCATCAATTACACCAACAGCATGCGGGAAATTATTTTTAAATCCGTTTTCAACTTCTAACCACTGCTGCTCATTGACTGGCATCTGAAATACAAAAAAAAATTTATAACCAGATTGCGTTTTTTATTTCAGGACACTGCAACTGTTCCTAATGAACTTGAAGAGGAAAATGAGGCCGCCGAATCAACAGATTCTTCGATTCCACCAGATACGCTTAATTCATGTGAGGCACTCGATCCAACACCAACGCAAAATAGGACTATCCGGCGTCGTCTCAACCCACCAGAATTACAAATTGCCAGCAAACAAATGTCTGAGGCATTTAACAATTTAAATAAAATGATTAACAAGCAAGATGTTGTTGAAGATGAGTGTGACATATTTGGCAAACTGATTGCCAAAAAATTAAAGAAGATACCTGAACATGAAAGGGAAGAAATAATGTTCGACATTCATGCCTTATTTCGAAGACCACGTAGTTTTGAAAGATCATCTGTTGATTCATTACGTTCCCCTACACCAACTTGTAGAAATTATCCTAATGTCACAATGACTTCTCCCAGGCCACACTCATCATTTTCAGAGCCTCACAACTCATTTGTACCATTTTCCGATGGAACTGACGGAAGACAATACATGTTACATATCCCGGAAACAAATGAAAATACTTTCCTTAATGAAAAATCTTCAATGGTTCACATTATAAGGGATGAAGTTGTTAGGCCAGCCGATAAAATTTCTTCGGTAACCAGCCCAACTACAATCCAAACTCGATTCGTCCCCTACCAAACGTCTTCTATGAATAATATAATAAATCAAGCATACTATAAGTCTGAATAATACCTACTCATAATTTTAATTGTAATTTTAAATAGTAATAAGCTTAAATTAAATAAAATTATGTTCAAAAATTTTAAACATCTACCTTTATTTCATCCTTAAGAACGTCGTTAAGAGCTTTGCAAACATCAACTACTATTTTTGAAATTAACTGACTTGAAATTTTAAATAAATAGTGCAGGCTTTTAAAACTGTCGCCAGTTGCTAAAAATCTCAAAGTGACTGCTAAACGAATCTTGGCAGGTATAGCTTCCCTTAAATGAGTATCTTGCTTAGAGATAAGTGGCAGAACTTTGGAAAGCAAGTAATTAAAATCCGTCAAAGACATTCGATGGAAATTTTCGAATTCTCCAGATGGTTCTTGTATCAGTTCAACAAATTGTTGCTCCATACTATGTCTGCAAAAATATGAAATATAAATTAAAAATAGTCATAATAGTAATAATAATATGTGCATATATTTAGACTTTTCTACTTGTGGTAAAAGTTCTTAATTTTGCCTTGTTTACTAACCTAGTTCTGTTCCGGTGCATTGCAATCATCCACCATCTCCTTTTTCTCCATTTCTTTTTAATTTTTGTTGTATATAAAACACGCACGTAATTATAATACGCGAGCGAACACATTGCAACAGCAGCTGCCTCTTGAACGTTATTCATGTTACGGGTACGGGAGACCCAAGACGACTGAGCTCTTCGCGAAGTAGCACGAGTGTGTGGTTACGTACTTCGGCTTCGATGGACTTCGACGAGCACTTCGTCGAAGTTACTTCGCGAGTAGTGTAGAGGAAGCAAATGATTTAATGAACTTGAATCCTTGAACATTAAAAAGCGACGTTGCCACGCAGTGCAAACTATTGGTATTGTGACGTATCGACAGCGGTGTCTTTTGTCGGCGTGCATAAACAAGCGGCACGAGGCACGCGGCGTACTTCAAAGGCGACGGCGCAACTGCGCGCGCGCCTTTGTCGTAGAGTAGGACACCTGTTATCGACGATTAGCTTATTTCAAAGGGAGTAAGTAATAATCGATAAACAAAAAAAAAGTTTAGCTTTAAACACTTAGGGTATGGTTTTTTTAGAATTATCGTGTTGTTATGATAATCCTAAAAACACTACGACCTAAGTATTTAAAGCTAAACTTTAAAGCTAAACTTTAAAGCTTTTTTTTTTGTTTAAGTGTGTTCTTGTAGATTTAGAGATAATAAATTATTTTACCATGATAAAAAACCCATAAAAACAACCAATTAAAAAGTCATACATACTTACCCGTTTCCCAGGAAGTCACAAATCGGTAGTTTCGTAAGTTCAATTGTCCAAAAATAAACTTTTTTTTAACAATCAATGTTAATGTCGATTGTTATCAAATCAAAAATCAAAATTACTTGTATTCAAATGTAGTAGGTAAGTAAGCGTAAAACGAAAAGTATCGATAAACGATTATTGCACCTTGTGGCTGCCCTATTTATTACTTTTATTATTTTCGCCATTTTGGAATTTGGAAGTTTAGCTTCCAGCTCACGCGCAATTGTTCCAGGATACAGGTGCGTTTCGCTGCCTACGCGCAATTTAATTATTTATCGTAAGATAAATACAATTAGTCAAACAATTCTTTTACGGTGAAATAGACACTTATTAGTTAATTGACTTTGTGTGTGTAAATAGTGTTTTAAGTAAGTTTATTTTTTCACTGTGATATTGACGCTACCTTAATTTTTTTGACCTCAATCCTCTAGACTTCTTTTTATGGGGCTTTATTAAAAATGAAGTGTACTCAAAGATTTTCGAAACCGAAGATGAACCGCGCAATCGTATTGTTGCCGCCTTTAATAAATTAAAAGCCCTGGCTCTGGATCCTGAACGAAATTTTTTGAGCAAGCTTCAGGACAACATTATGCGGCGATGTAACTTGTGCATTCAAGAACGATTTTGAAATTTTAAAATTTAGGGTTTCATTAAATTTTACTACTAATATGCAATAATATTTATTTCGTTCAGTTCCATTTTCGCGAAATAAAAAAGTGGCGGTAAAATACCTCAACAGTTTAGTGAGTAAGTTTTTATTTCGTCGGACATTGTCCAACGAACCATAGGCCGTGCCGACAAACAATAACGCTGCCTGCCGCCAACCGCCATGCCACCCGCGTGCAACGTTGTCACTCTTCCAAGGGGTCAAGGTACGTTGTCTAAACAGAGTGTTTACTTTTACTGAATTTATTTTAATATTTATTTTGTTTGAAAATTTCACTTTTTTATTTTACGGGTTTTAATTTAATATTTGATTTTTCTACACTTCTGTGGACTAGTATTACTTGTGGTTTAATTTATTGCATACATGTGGGACCCCATTCTGTATATATATCGATAGCGATAAAATCCTTAAAATTTGTTTAATTTAATGTGTAATGTTGGCGTAAATATAAGAAATCGTTAAGATTTTAAGGCATTGTAAATTTTTTAGAGATATTATAGAATCGAGATAAAATTTTTTCGCGCTATTATAGAATACAAACCGCACGCTAACACACAAAAACGAAACAAACACTTGAAAGTCAAACACTCCCAACTAACATAGCAACATTTTATTACTGCGCTAATCACTACTGTCCACTTAAGCTCTGCTAGTAAAAGTTAGCAAAATGTTCATTAAATAAACTGATTTTATTATTAGAACTGTTTTACAATCTCTATTAGCTTTTTAATACACATACTTTTTAAAAGCTTTTATTTAACTTGCAATGTATATTTGTTAGGGTCCAATCTTGCTACTGCATTTTAAATCTGTTATCCTCAACCGATTGAGCAGAAATTTTGCATACGTGTTTAGTTTAGGTGGCAATGCATGGTTAGCTAAGTGACGTCATTTTAAATTTAAAATGGCGGACCGCCTATGATAGCGGATTAGTTTTTTTTTTCTATACACTTCTTAAATATGGGTATCAAATGAAAGTGTTAGCTGAGAAGAATATGAAAATAAAATGAAGTCAGTCTATATCCAATATGGTGGACACCCAAAATTGGCGGACTAGTTATTTTCTATGCACGCCCTTGATATGGGTATCAAATGATGCGAGATTTACCCGTGTACATAAACAAGAATACAATAATATGTAACTTGATATGGACATAAGTAGGTAATTCTAAGAAAAAATAATGTTTTTTTATTAAATAGCTAAATCTCGCGACAAGTTCTTATATCATATAAATGTTGTATGTAGTAAATTGATTGGCTTGATTTAATTTAAATTTTATTTTCTCCTTTCTAAAGCATATAAATAAAAGCTTGTTTTCAAAAAAGTTTTTAACTATTAGTTTATTTAATATACGCTCGTAATAACCCGCGGCTGGATATGGGCCTCTATCTTTTTTCTGTTTATGGCAAGGATTGCAGTGTGCCTAAGATAATCCATCACCACATTTGATCCCGAGGATATTGGAAGCGGTTACAAACCAGTGTTTGACAAAAATTCCATCGGGTGGTAAATCTTAGTGTCTTAGTGTTGTAATGTTTTAAAAGTGGTAAATGAGAGAAAGGCGTGTTGTTTATACAAATACAATATACAATAAATATTTAATTATACTGCTCTTACATTAATATATAAGTCGTGTGGGCTACTCCACACTACACCTCCCACCGACAAAAAATATAAAAAAATAATATAATGTTATATTTTACATAATAATAAATATTCTTATTCTAATTAAACAATTATACTTTCAATCTAGTAAACAAATTACTAGTAAGTCAAGTTAGGTTAGAATAGGCCTCATTCACTTTAGACATATATATAAGTCGATGAATTGTTAAGTGTGCACACTTATTTGTCAAAATCAGGGATTATTACTTTACGTAATACATTGGCGAACAATTACAATTTATTCGTACGATATCTTAGCCATTTAGTTATCTAGTCACCAAGTCATCCATCTTGTCATTTTATCACATATTTAGTTTTGTTCAGGGATCCCCTTTTTACCTCGTTTTAATCGTTCTCATATCCTTGCATTTTAATTATTTTCATACTAACGCTATTCTTATATGTTTTGTTTTCGATTGTGAGGCCTTTTTTTTCATAATTCTTGTAGGTACGTACTTTATTTTATTTCTTAAGATTTTTGATTGACCTTTAGCAAACTTTGTTCCCTTTAGTATTCTATGCACTTATATATTTATTTATTTATCTGGAATCTCAGTATTAATTCACTTCATTTATATTTTATTTCATGATTTTTATCACGCTGGTACTTTACACATATGGGCCCCCATTTACTTGAATATTATATTACATTTTCATTACATTAATTTCGTTATATTGGTACATTTACTTTTTATCATACTATATCAAGGTAGAACTGTACCTTGGGTTGTGCGCACCACCTTGAGGTCTACGTTTAAGTCATTTTAAAAGGACTCCAACTCTCCTCAGTTTCAAGGTACTCCCCTTATTGCCTCAGCCAGTATCGGAATCCTCGGCGTCGACATATCGAGTGACGTGCAGTTTCGTGGTCACTTGGAAGAGAAGGCCAAATTGGCCTCTAAAAAGCTTGGCGTGCTCAGCAGAGCGGGACAGTATTTCATACCGGCACACCGCCTGCAACTTTGCAAGGCGCAGGTTCGGCCTCACATGAAATACTGTTCCCATCTCTGGGCAGGGGCTCCCCAGTGCCAGCTCCTTCCACTTGACCGCATCCAGCGCAGAGCGGTTCGAATCGCCGACGACCGAGTTTTTTTCCGATTGGCTTGACTCACTGGCACTGCATAGAGATGTTGCACCTCTTTGCGTATTTTATCGCATCTACCACGGGGAGTGCTCTGAGTAATTGTTCGGACTAATTCCACCGGCTCAATTTCACCATCACACATCGCGACAAAACTTGCGATACCATCCATACCACCTGGATGATTGACGGCCCATCACTGTGCGATTTAGAAGATGTTTTCTTCCTCGCGCAACTTCCTTGTGGAATCGATTACCACCAGCGATTTTTCCGGACCGATACGACTTAGAGACCTTCAAGAAAAGAGCCTACTCCTTTTAAAATGCCCCTGGTGTTGCGGTTGTTCATGAGCGACGGTAGTCACTTACCATGAGGTAAGCCGCATGCTCGTTTGCCCCCTCTCCTATAAAAAAACTTCCTAAACCTTACGGTTTACGCATTATTCTAAAACCCGAAACTTTCAACTCTAATGAAAAATATTAGATATTATCATTATTTTTTTGGTCGGAAAATAGCTATCAAAAGTTCTGGAGCTATTATGGGGCTGATGTTAGCAAACGCAGAAGAACAAGCGGCCTAATGCGATGTGCAACTATGTTTTGTGCCAATCTGTAGACAGTGGATAGGCGTTAGGCTGCAATAGGTTAATTATAATTATAATGAAAAAAAAGAAGATGAAATGGGACCTTTAGGATATTATAAAACAACTAAAAAACGCTTGAGTATAATAGGGTACAGTAGGTATTTGCACGTCACATAACATTTATTTAAGTAGAATAGTTTATTATGTCAGGTCAGTATCATAATATATTCCATAGTACGTCATACGCTATTCATATCAACTTGTTATTAGATCATCAATCATTTTATTATGTAGTTCTAAGTCAGATTCTAAATAAGTTTTAAGTACGAGTATGTAAAATATTATCAAGCACTAACACT